GAACATCCAATGTTCTGTCATGCACACAAACTAAGGGAACTTAGCAATAATAAGTGTGCAATTTTGCACCAGCTTAAAGTTTTCACAAAAGTAAAGGCATTTTTTTTTTTTTTTTAGTGCTGGAGATCAAATCCTGTGCCATGCTAGGCAGGTGCTTTACCACTGAGCCCTAGCCCTAGCCCAACTTCCAACAGTTGTCTTTTATATATCTATTTCTGAGAGAGTGAACATGGTAGAAAAAGTCCTGAATAAGCTAGAAAGAGGATCCTATTGAGATGTTACAAAGAGGTCACACCCAGAGTAGTTGACACAATTTTTTTTTTTTTTTGCTACTGTGGATTGAACTCAGGGCTACTCAAGCTATGTCCCCAGCCCTTTTGTATTTAGTTTGTTTTTCAGATAGGGTCTTGCACTAACTTGCCCAGGTTGGCCTTGGAATACATTCCTCATGTCTCTGCCTCCTGAGTAGCTGGGATCTCAAGTATGCACCACCATACCCTCCCCTCTGAAGCAATGTTTTAAACAAAATTATAGGTGGTGCATACACACTGTTGCCCCAGACACTCCCCACTTGAACTCTTTCTGGGCCCTCAAGATGTGAACTTGAGAGTTGCATCCTAGTCAAATCTTATTATCCCAATTGTCCAGAGGTCTTAGTCATCTATTAAAATGGAATTTTCTCTACTTTTATTGTTACAGAAGGATATTATAAAGTGAAATGGTCCCCATATTGGGGTAAAACCCAGGGCGTCATGCATGCTAGGCAAGCATTCTACCACTGAGTTACATCTCCAGCCCTGAAATGGTCTATTATATATATGAAACAATAAAGACTTAATGGTGAGAAGATAGTAAAATGTTAAGCAAAGATTGCCTAGATCAATAGGCAGTTATTGACAACAAAGAACAAGAACAGAATGATTAAAGCAAATGCTTCAAAAATACCATTTTTACAATTAAGCTTCAGTATTTTCTTCTCTAAAAATTTTAAATCAGAGCCAAGAGCAAACTGGACCCAGTATTTGGCAGAATTTTGAGGACTGATAAGATGGCCAAATGGGAAAGTGTAGGAGAGCAAGGGAAAGACTACAAGATTTACCTGACAGGTTCCTAAATAATCTAAAGAGCAGATGGAAAGAAGTACATGAATGGGGAAAAAGTAAGATCTTTGTCTTAGAACAGGCCATAAATATTGATATCCTATCATTATTATATTCTTAAAAGTCAAGCCAGTAATTTTTTACTGAGTATCTATACTTGGTCTAATATGTTGAGGATATGAGTAGATTACAGTATTATTTCTGCCCTCATGGAGTTTTATCATTCTTAGAGAATGAAAAGATTTACACAAGAAATTATTAGAGGGATGGGGAATGGCTCAAGTGATAGAGCATGTGCCTAACAAGTGCGAGGCCCAGAGTACTGCAAAAAAAAAAAATTATTAGAAATGATATACTTTCTTTTGGCAGTACTGGGGATTGAATTCAGGGCCAGGTGTTTTTAAGCAAACACTCTACCACTTGAGCCACACCCCCAGTCCTTTTATTTTTAGCTTTTCAGACAGGGTCTCATGCTTTTGGCTGGCTAGCCTCGGACTGAGATCCTCCTACCTCTGTCTCCTGAGCATCTGGGATTATAGACATGTGCCAGCATGCCTGGCTTGTTTTTGACAGGGTCTCACTAACTTTTTCCTGAGCTGGTCTTAAACTACAATCCTATCTCTGTCTCCTGAGTTGATGGGTTTATAGGCATGCACCACCATATCCAGCCAGAAAAACTTAAACAGAATAAATTATGTGTCCTACTATTACAGTTAATCATGGAGTTCAGTAACTACAAAGCCCACATACTTGAAATTTAAAATTAAATAGGTTATTTTAAGAAATCAAACTTTCTTTTTAAGCACAGTTAAAGTTCAGAGTCTGTGAACCGTGACTATTTCCTTCAATTCTCCACCTCCAGGAAAATTTGACAAAAGCATTGTTGTTTGCTGTACTTAACAATTAAGGGATAAGTCAAGCTCACATGGAGACCTGAAAACTTGACCACTTCCCTCTGACCTCATTGTGATATTTTTATTGCATGTCTACCACTCAAAATGTATTATGTTTTATGCCATGTACTGTGTTTGACTAGATGAAACCAGAGTTCCCATTATGAAGAAGCTCATCCTAAGAGTCATGCAGTTTTAGTTCAATGCAGCTAAGTATGACAGTACAAGGTACCACTGGCAAACAGAAGGACACACATCAGTTTGCTCCATTGTTGCTAATGCTGTTTGATCACTTGAGGAAGGTGACATTCACCTGAGTGCCCACTGTGTATCTTTTTCCCTTTTATAAGTCTGGAAAGGAAGGAGAGGATGGGTAAGAAGGTCAAGAGTTTAGGGAGAAAGTGCTATCTAGCCAAAGTGGAGTGAAGGGTCAACACTTCACTTAATCAGTTAGAGGGGACAGCAAAGCTACAAATGGAGAAAACCTAGAACAGAGGTTGGGGGCTACAAGGAGTAGGGAGTGTCACAATGAGTCTAAGAGGTAAAAGAGGGACAGATTTATGAAGGGCTTTGACAGCCAATGTTAAGATTGGTTTGTCTTCTAGCCTAATGGCCTCCAAGGTGTGTGTGTCCTGGGATGCTGGAGAAGAAATTTTAACTGTCTTAAAACTTCTGAATTTTCTGTGCATCTCATAATTGGATATGTAAGGCCATCTGCAATGGCACATGCCTGTAATACCAGTTACATGGGAGGCATAGGTAAGAGGATGGAGGTCTGAGTTCAGACCAAGGCAAAAATACAGCAAAAAGGGATGGGATTGTGGCTCAAGTGTTAGTACAATGCCCTGAGTTCAACCTCCAGTACTGCCAAAAACAAAAAGGTGTATCTCCCCCAACCATTAACTAAACTCAGGGCCTTAAGTGGAGGATTTGACATGGGGAAAATGAAAAGCTGTGGTACTTAAAAGCAGCCAGAGCTGGGTGTGGTGGTACACACCTGTAATCTCAGCACTAGGGAGGCCGAGGGAGGATCACAAATTTCAAGACAGCTTGGGCGATACAGTGAGATCCTGTCCCAAAAAACCAAGGGCTGGGGACATAGCTTAAGAGGGTCTTAGTGATTTTTCAATTTTTAAAATGATGTGAAGAGATACATGTTTAGTTCAAAATTGTGCTTTGAATTCTGATCTCTTTCCAGGCTAGCAACATGTGGCATGATGCCAGGCAGTTCAGTGACCTGACACTGACAGCTGTGTGACTGTGAGCAGAAACAACCAACATCTGACAGTGTACTGTGCTAAGCCAGCAGGTAGGTTAGGTACATTAAATGCATTTTTCACTTACCATATTTTCAATTTATGATGGGCTTATTAGAACATAACCCCAGAGTAAGTTGAAGAGGATCTGTTTCCCCATAGCTTTGGAAAATAAGGCACAATGTACCATGCAGAAAAACTGTTAGTACCCCAGGAGAAATTCAGAATGAGGTGATTTTTCTCACCATTTTGGAAGATAGTCATCATGAAACTTGGGTACTTAGAAGAAATGGTTGATTACAGGGCTGGGACAGGAAAATACAAAGTGAACCTGAAAAACCTTATGTCAAAAAGCTCAAGATTCAAAGAGACATTATCAACAGAACTGGCTTAGAGGGGCTCCACTAGCTAAATTTGGTGTCATTTAAACACCAGGAACAACAACTGGGTTTTAACACATAGAATATAAAAAGAAACTGAGTTCACAGTGATATTCAAAGTGTGGAATAAAAACAAAACATCCTGCATTACATAAAAATGCCAGCTAATAAATGTAGGATGAAATTAGAAAATCCCCATGCTACAACATCTATTTAATAACTAACTCAAAGAATCATCAATGAATGTTAAAACCATGGACTGAAAAGCAGGATATCCATGTGGTCTCACAAGTTCCTTCTTAATTATAAAGTAAGAGAGTATCTTATAATGGAAAGATAAAGCAGGTATCACTGTAGCCAAAGTTAACATCATCAATAATGGAACAAAATGACATCATGCACTTCCTGACGTCATACCAATGTGAAGTACGTATTACCTAGATAATATTCTTTAAATCTAATCATCTAGAATCATCATTCTATAAGCCAAATGGTTTGTACTTTTCAAAAATGTTAGTATCAGAAAAGAATAATTTCGGGGCAAGGTCACAGACTAAGTGGTAGAGCACCTGCCTAGCAAGCACACAGCCCTGGGTTCAAACCCCAGTATTGCCCCCCAAAAAAGGCAGAGGAATAGGGTAATCTTTCTAAAGGAAAGGATGAAAGGAAGTAGACTGAACCTAATGCATGAGCCTGCTTAGTTCACAATACAAATGAAACAAAAACATATAAAGATATATGGATGCTTTGAGAGTTTAAAAGTATGAATTATATATTAGCTATTACTGAATCAATGTCACATTTCTTGGGTATGATAATGCTGTGGTGGTTATATGAGAACACTGCTTGTTTTCAGGAGATAATATTTAGGAATGAAGCATCATGGTGACTTAAATTTATTTCAAAGGAATTGACAAAAAAAGATAAAAGAATGGAAAAAGATTAAAATATACAGAGAGGTGACAAAGCTAATGCAATAAAATGTAAACAGTGAATTAAGTAAAGTGAAATGATGTTTATTGTATATGTTCCTAATTTTTTTCTAGTTGTGAAATTTTTCAAAATAAAATCAGGTAAAATCTTAAGGTAATTTATGTGTTACTAATATGCTATAGTTAATTTTACTTAGATAAATATGCTAAATAGTAATAAATTATTTAATACTTACTTTAAAAAAGCCTTCTAAGAATGTCCCATCAAAGCTAACTAAGCTAAAAGATGGACCATATAACCTCTGGCCAATGTCAGCAACGTAATTCCTTTCTCCTTTTCTTTCCCCATATGACTCAAGAATCATGTTTGACTTACCTGTGAATTATCACCAATGGAAATTAGCATCTGATCACAAACAATTTAACGTTGGAAAAGCTATAATCTTCTGGTTTTAAAATAATTTATTTCATAGGTCTGTTTTAATTTCATGTCTCAGAGCATACATTATTTAACCAAGAGGTGCTGGACAGAGATTGTAAAAAAGGGAGGAAACATTTAGGATAAGAAACCGGCTCCATTCCCGTAGAATTTGATCCTACCTTGTAAAGTCTTGCTAGGATAAATTTCTATCATACTTCTTTGTGCTTACAAAAAACATTAACTTCTGAATTTCCAATGTTGTAAATAAAATTTTTTTACAATTAAGTATGCATTCAATTGACACAGAAGGCAACCAAATAAATTGTCATCAACATTAGCATAATGTGTATTTCCTGTCACTGCACTAACATTAAACTAAATTTCAAACCCAAAAACATTATGACTAACATTAAAAAGGCAAGCTGTAAGATACTCAAAGCTTATAAAGGACAAAATTGCACATGGTTAAGATGGGACATCATTTGACAAAGGCTGGTGTTGTGCATATGGCTGCTTTTTCTTATAAGAAGGCCACCGGCAAACAGGGCAACAGTGTCGGCCCCCAGCCAACCACATCACAATGCAATTCTGATGGAACACATGACCACAAGGCAATCCCATTAGCAAGCATCCATTTTCAAAATTCTCTAGGCAAACAACACATTCAGTACAGCGCAGCATATCAGCAGGCCAAGTTAACCAGTCAGGTTCCGTATCTTCATTAGTGTTATAGGATCCGTAAGACCTCCCCTTCCTTTCATATGGGTTGGTCTGACAGTATTTATTGGCACATGAACAAGCCTCAACATCACAGTGACTTGCTCTTCCTGGAGAATTGTGAAGTACGCTTTGCTTTTCTTCAAATACTTCCTTCTCACTGCTAAAAGTGTCTGTGTTCTCCCCATCTGAGTCATTTTCAGTATCTTGAGAACCCTCTGACATTTCCTCTTCAGACTGGACTCCAAGATATTGAAATCGCCACATTGGTAAGTTTTTTATATAATCAGTTGGTATCAGAGGGTGAAGCCAAAGGTCAGGGAAAGCTAACCGCTCCAAGAACAAGTCAGGGTCTTCGTCCCAATCGGATTCTATAGGAAAGTTCTGGAAAGAAGCAATTGGGTGGAAGAGGTAGCTGGTGTACCAGTCCCACAGACTTGACAGCCACTCTAAGTTATTGGCATTGACTTCATCATTGTTGCTGCGCCGTCTCTTCTTCTCAAAGTAATCAATTAGTAAACCGTGTCCAAGATATGTACTGAGAAACAGGGCTGGGTGTGATGAATAAAACATCCAGTCTGCCCTTACCCATGAAGCCAGTGTGGTTGTATTGGAATATCTTAACAATTTTAAGCTATATTCATAAAAGCTATCTAAGTAAGGGAGCTGTAAAAAGCCCAACACAGGTAGCCAGGAAATAATTAATAGAGAATTATATGTCCCTAAAGTGCTTATGAGAACCACAAATCTCTTGATGGTGGCTCCTTGTGTAATAAATAAGTCCATCCAAGCCATAAGATTAACTAGAACTAAACTCAAAACAAACAGATCATTTACTTCAGGTTGTAATGAGCGCAAAAATGAATCCATGGCCTGAAGGGATATAAATTCACCTGTGTGATTTCCATATCTGTAAATTCCTTCAGGAGTTCTAAGTATGTATGATGGCATGTTATATATGCCAATATCTGTCATATAACTCTTGTTGTCCCAGTTTTCCACATTAACAAAGATAAACTCAACTCTTCCAGTAAATTTTATACTTAGTGCAGAGAAGAAAGCTGGTGGTTGGTCAAGGTTTGCAAACAGGTATATTTTTACCCAATACTGATCACTTTTATTCCATTCTTCTTTCAGATGTTCAGCATTATAAATGGTTTTGATTCGAGAAGCTGCATGAGCAGTTATCCATTTAAAAATGTGCTCTACTTCAATCTTGCGTCCACTATACTCTTTAAGCATGACTTTCCCTTTAGAAGTACTTGTTTGTGGAACAGACATAATGAGTGTGGATCGTACCCAGCCTCTTCTCCTGCAGTACCTGTAAGAAGGGAAACTGGGTAAACAGCTAGGTTGTTGTGCAATTTATCTTCCCCCAATAAGTTTCTTTGAACCTGACTCTCCCCAAAGACCAAATAACCCCCAAATGATCAAAAAGAAGGTCCAGTATTTGGTAGTTACTATTTCTGTTTCTATTAGCCAATTTTTTAAAAAGAAAGCCTTTGAGTCAAGGGAATCAGCAGATACTTTTTCATCTCCCACATACACACTACTGCCTTATGTACCGATTTGATCCAGAAGATAATGGGGACGTAATTCCTGCTCACAAGGAATTTAAGATCTGGTTAAGGAGACAGGACAGAAATATAAAGCAGCATATATTTCATTGTTAAATGTGTAAAAGAAGTTCAAAGGGAAACAATTATCACTGGGAGTTGGTGAAGAGTTTGTGAAAAGTTTGAGATACGAACTGGTAGAATTCAGATGGGCAGAGAATAGAGAAGGAAACATATGATCCTACATGCTGAGTCCCTGCTTTGGTGTAAGCTCCTTGAGGTAAGACAATAATTTGACCATTTATTGCCTGGAACACCTACCACAATGCCTGAAACTCACAGGCACTGTTACAAAGTAATCTGTACCAATGTTAACCCAGAAGAGAGAACTACTAGCCCACATTTGTCTATATTTTCCTCTCTCTTCAATGAACAACAGGAAGAGGAGTATTTAACACATAGGAAACAAAGAAAGTATTTAGATTAAGAGATTCAGTTCAAGAATGATCCTATTTTACTGCAGTATAAATACATGTATACTATCTCCCTCTAAAAAACTAGTTGATGAAAAATGCAAATAGCTATTGTATTACCATGAAGAGGTTAAAATGAAAACGTTTTCCTTGAAAATGTATTCTTTCCCCAAAACCAACCTTGCAGAATTTTATGATACATAAAATTTACCTCAATAAAGGTGTAAAACAGAAAATTTACCATGTGGATATATTGGTTTGTTATAGATTTGTAAATGGATACTAATGTTTGATTTCTTATTTTGTTACTTAGAACACTAATGTAAAATCATGCACGTATGATTTACTTAGTAAGGTTGCATTATATTTTATTAAATGAGATGAGTACACATTCATATGATCAGAAAGGAAAGTTTTGATATATGTGGGTACAGTTTTAAGATGATAGGACTATTTTATCTCAGGAATTTTGTGATATAATTTAAAATAAATGAAGACAATATCTTATGTCTTAAAGACAAAGTTAGTAATGATTCTGGACTACTATCTCAGTGACTCAGAATTACAGACCCTGGCTCTTAGCTTCTTATTCATTCACTTCCTTAACAAGGTACAGTCAGTTAACATCAATATTATTATCACTGAAATGGTCTGAAAAGTATATATTCCTTAAAAATAAAGTATCTTCTGTCCTCTCACACTACATTTGTCCAATGTAAAATAATTCATTGACATAAATTCTGTTTTTACTCTTGCTAAAACCCCCAGTAAGTCAAATTGCATATAGGCAATTGCCTTATTTACATCTTAAATATCAAAATAGCTTAAATGTTTTAACTGCTATGATACTTGTAATGGCACATTTTCGTTCTTGGTCATTCTCTTTATCTTCCTATAACCACCTTGGCTTCTGATTTGTGTCATAAATCAAATGACAGTACACAAAACCCTACTTTGTAAAACAGGCAAGATTTTAGTACACTGATTTCCTCATGTAAGAAAACAAATATTTGTATGTTTTCTTCTTTGGTTCAGAGTTAAATGATATTTATAAGTTCTGTCATTCTACATAGACAGAATTTGAGACTATGCAAGAAAAAACAATTCCATATGCTATCATATATCTTTTAAATTATGTGTTTTCCAGGCTTGGAAAAAAAATCTCTACAAACACCAGGCTACTAATACAAATGATCTAAACACTGATCCAAAGACACCCAAAACACAAATATATATTAATTTTAAAACTCTACTGCTAAAAAAAAATGAAGACTAAATGTACATATTGTCTATTAAAGATGTTTTATTACATTGTATCAATATAAAAACTTACACTGTCACTTTAAAGAGCTTTTTAAGGTGAGAATAAATTCAATGATAACACAATGGAAACATTCTCCAGTGTTTTCTTTTTTTTTTTTTTTGAGACAGGGTCTCTCTATGTAGCCCAGACTGGCCTTGAACTTGAACTTGTGATCCTTCCACCTCAGCCTCCTAAGTGCTGGGATGACAGGCTTGCATGGCTTATTCTCCAGCTTTTTCCCTGCTCTGTGTAAAAATGTTTAGAATATAGGGACTAAAGAAAGGTTGGGGGCCAGGGAGAGCTGAGGAAGGCATCTCAACTCCAAAACAACATTTGAGTTATGGCCTGCCTACAGCCAAAGGGGAAGGCCACTCCAAGGAGTCCTGGCATGGACTGTCCCCTTCCTACTTAATGTCCTTGCCACTAAGCAGAAAACCAAGAAATCAGGATGCGAAGACTTTAGTAGCTGTCAATGAGCATGCAAGGGAAGAGGGGATATATATGCCACTTCCCTGTGATCTGAGAGCCAGGATACACAAACAGGAGACAGAGGGTCCCAATTCAGTTACAGACAGGAGGTTGAATACCCAAGTCAAAAAAAAAAAGCAAAAAGGAGATTTTGGAGGGAGGCCTTTTATGAGTTAAAAAAAAACAAAAAACAAAAACAAGAACAAAAAAACAGGTACATTATCCAACATCTTCCTGAAGCTGCTAGTCTGGTCTCTGGTTCATCCCCTCTCCCACAAAACCAAAGGGAACAAGGAGGGAGGCAGAAGATGGGAAGTTCCAAGGCAGGAATGCTTTTGCACGTCAGACAGCACATGAGTAAGCCAGCCAAGAACAGGAAGGACAGGCAAACCTGCTGACTCCCTGAGTAGGATGGGGAGGGACAGAGCACAGCAAGGAGGATGATGAAGAGCATCTTAGCTCAGGCAAAGGACCCTGCGTATCAGGACAGAGGACCAAAGGACAGAGGGCTGTAGAGGGTTACCCTCTTTGCCTTTCCTCTTCTCTAGTTCTTAAAGTAAACCTTTTGAGCTCTTAGAAAATTTTAAGGCAGAAATGACAGGAAACGTGGCTAGTGAGTTTAGGCATTCCAGTTTCTGGTGTGGCGTACTGTATTTAAAAAGAAACCTTGGTATTACTTTTCAATGCTGTAATAATGCTATTTCTTCAGACAAAATCATTGGCCTTCATGGCTTTTCTGGCTATCTCTCCCTTCCCTTCTCTTTCCCACTTATTCCATATTCCTTCATCCCTGTCACTCTACCCAAGCCTCCCTACCCCTAGTCTACCACTCAGCTCTTGCAATTCCCATGCTCTCAACCTTCTCTTTACCAACATCCATCTCCCCAAACCCTGGCAGATACACATATAAATACCACTTCACCTACTTTCTCAAAAAAAAAAAAAAATGTGGAGCATGAACCTGGCTGGAAAAATGTATCTGTTGGTTGGGAAATCAGAGGAGTTAGAGCCAGGCAAAGTCATCCCTGCTGGGAAAATAAATTAAAACTGCTACCACTGGACAGAGTCCAAAGCTGCCCAGAAGTGATGGTTCAAACTTTCTCAGGGGAGCTAACCAGGTCAGCAAAGTACAGCTATACAACAGGACTGGCATACTAGAGAAGCCTGCTGCACAGGACACCTCAGAGAAGAGACTACACTAAAAAAAAGTAGTACAGAGTGCAGGGTTTTGGCATTTTTGAAAAATTTGAGAACAAGCCAGGTGTGGTGGTGCATACCTGTAATCCCAGAACCTGGAAGGCAGAGTCTGGAGACCTTGAGTTTGAGGCCAGTGGGCTACATGCAAGTTCAAGGCCAGCTTGGGTTATATAGTGAGATTCTGACTTTAAAAAAAAAAAAAAAGGGCAAGGGGGTCTGGGAGCTTGGCATAAGTGGTAACAAGTTCAAGACTCTGAGTTCAATCCTCAGTAGCACCCAAAAAAAAAAAAAAATCCAAAAACACACAAAACTGAGAACAAGTTGGTATGTCGAATAATTGATCATTCAAATATTCAATATATCAAAATACCACTTGAGTAACTCTATTCTCTGCCCAGTCACACCCTTCAGTGAAACTCTGACCACCTTTTTTCTATGCCTCTGCATCTCCAGTCATTAAAAGAAGAAAAAAATGACCCTAAGAAAGAACAGTTTTTACTCTAATTGAGGAAACATAAACACAACAATAATGAAACTGACACAGTCATTGTGCATCAGAGTCATCTTTGTGATGGAGACTGAGGAGAGACTAATAGAAGTACTTTTGTTGCTTTTGCTTTTTTTTTTTTTTTCAGTGCTGGTGGGGCTTAAACCCAGGGCTGATACTAGATAAGCACACTACACCACCAGCCCAAGTACTTTTTTAATAACAAAAAATTGTAATTGCAATTTATGAAAAGCCAAAAAGTTACTCAAAACAATCTCTTACAGCATAAATAAGAAGTGAAATTATATGAAGAATTTCCAGGAAAATATCTGGAGGTAGCTTATGTGTACCCCTTTGCTATTCCTCAGTTAGCATAAAATCACAAAGCTTTTTAAGAGAAGCTAGAAAAAGGGCTGGTGGAATGGCTCAAGTGATAGAGCACTTGCCTAACACCACGAGAGGCTCAGAGTTAAAGCCCAAGTACCACAATAAAAAAAAGAGAGAAAAGCTAGAAAAGGCTGTAATTAAAAAAAAAATCAACTGCAACTATTTCTTTCACTTTTTCATGTTTAATAGATTATCTTCTTTCATGATGTATTTAGTTTATTTTGAATTCTTCATTAATGTTACCTAACAATTATATTAGACTGCAATGTGTTTAAACCTTTATATTTTGGGGGGGGGGGCAGTACTGAGGTTTGAACTCAGGGCCTCATGCTTGCTATGCAGGCACTCTACCACTTGAGCCACTCTGCCAGCCCCTTTTGTTGGGTATCTTTTGAGAATAAGGTCTCATGAACTGTTTGCCTGGGCTGGCTCGGAACAGTGATCCTCTTGTTATCTGCCTCCTAAGTAGCTAGGATTACTGGTGTGAGCTGCCGATGCTTGGCTGCAATTAAAAAGAAATTTATTTGATATTTTCTAATGCATTTATAAACTACAGTGTTTGAGACATTATTTACTTTCACTGATTTGTCAAAAGTAAGTGAATATTTTTCAGTAAAATAGTGATATTAATATTGACTTTTGAGCTGAGTGCTGGTGGCTCACGTTTGTAATCCTTGCTACTTGGGAGGATGAAATTGGGAGGATCATGATTTGAGGCCAGCCCAGGCAGATAGTTCATGAGACCCTTCATCTCCAAAATAACCAGAGCAAAATGGACCGGATGCGTGGATCAAGTGGTAAGAGTGCCTGCTTTGCAAGCATGAAGCCCTGAGTTCAAACCTCAGTCCCACTAAAAACCCTTGACTTTTGGTATTATTTTTAAAGAACAAAAACCAAAAATAATCAATGCTATTATTTGTTCTTGTACTGCAATTGTCAGTGGGGGAAAACAGCTCTTTCAAACAGTTTCTATTTGAGGATGATGTAATCAGACCCAGTTCTAAGGTCTCTGGTAAACAAAGGACAGGAATAAGAATGATTTCCTTTTCATAGGAACTTTAAGAGTTAGGCTGTATCAGACATGTCAACAAAAGATGCTGGGATATGATCAAGTTGCTGTGGTGAAGATGCGATGGGAACTTTGTGGGAGACAAGGAGAGTTAAGTGTGAGTTAAGAGGTACAAGAACTTCCCTCCTGTCCTGAGCTCTTAGGACAGCTCTTATCACAGATCTCACCCTACATTACTAATGGGCAAAATGAGGGTTGTGAGAAGAAAAGCAATGATGAAGCTAACAGATAGGAGTTGTGGCAACAGCTTTCAGGGATTTTCCATAACCAATGGGCTGTCCATCATGGCCCACATATGTGAAAGATGTCAGGCACACTTACCTACATGAAAAACTACTGACTATTGTGGGGCGTTTTGACGTATACCTTGTATGTTCCCTCTGCGTGAAATAAAACATACTACACATGCCAATCTTTTAGTTAATATTCATCAAGCAGATAATTAAAAGACTGCAGGAGAATAAGTCATAAATTGGTGTCACTAAAATGGAAATAAAAATTCATTTTGGACTGGGGATGGTGCTCAGAAGTTTAGTGTATGTATGGGTAAGTATGAGAACCTGGGCTTGATCCACAGTACCGCAAAGAAAAAAATAAAGATTAATGCATTTCAAAGAAGAAATAATGAGATAAGGAAACAAGAAATAATGCGACTGAGAAAATGGAAAGAAAAGAAAAAAAAAAGAGTAGCAGGCAGAAAAGAAAGGCTACATTCTTGATTAAAGAAAACAAGGATGAATCTCATTTGGGGTACTAGGTTTAGGAAAAAGGATATACGTAAGTGATAGTATAGAGCTGATAGACATAAGCAAGGAAATGCAAACTAGAGGTCAAAAATACAAAAAAAAATTATATTAGCGTGATGTAACTTATAGCCATTTGGAAGAGAACACTGAAAGATAAAGAACTAAATACACTCTTAAGAGACACCCCCAAAAGAAAGCACATAGAAGAGCCAGAGAGAAAGTTAAAAAAAAAAACAAAAAAAGAGCCAGTTTACGAAAAGCTACTATAATTAAAGACTCTGAAAAACTGTACTAAATGTTAGTTTTCAGTTCAAGTAGGCTGCTAATATCACTTTCTTTATAAAACAAGAAAGATTCTGGTCAGGACTCAAATTCTAAGAATTGTCAAATCCACTTACCTGGGATCACTGGAACAGTTAAAAGTGCCTGTACGTATTCCAAATCTTGACACCTTTTTTACCATTTTCTCCCAGTGAATTTTACCCACCAAAGGACTTCTGTCACTTGCTATGACCTATTCCCCAAAAAGTAAAAAAGAAACTTTAATTACTTAACATGGAGTCAAACCAACCATTTATATAGAGTATTTCACTTTTTTGAAAAAGGTATTTTGTTTCCAGTTCTAGTTTACTGTATCATCACATCATCATTTCAATTCTTACAGAAGGAGCAACTGCCCAGCTGGAAAGGTCTTAAAACCCAGAATGCAGTGCATGAAACTCATGATCTGGCAGTTACACAGAATGGGAGTCAAAACCATGTTAAAAAGCTAGCCGTATTTTCTATCATGTGGCCTGTTCTCAACAGTTAAGTTATACAGGAAGAAAATGGCCCTGAAGTCATTTCTCCTTGCTGAAAAGAAAGAAATTATTTCTTTTCCTGAAAAGAAAAATTTAAATAATCCAAATAAAGTTTATGGAAAATATCACATGTGGATTCAACAAATTCAAATTTTGCTTTTTTTCAAACCATAATTATAAAGCTAAGAATCAAGCATGTGTTTTTTGTTAGACTACACTTTGACTAAAGCAATAGTACTACTTGTATGGATTTTTCCTTAACAACTATGAAAGGCTCTAACAAAAACAACTGCCATAATTAATTACCTCTGAACAACTTTTTCAAATTTTAAAATAGTTTTCAAATATATCTGAGTGAAAGAAATAGCCTCTAAAAAAAAAAAGAAATTCTAATTTGACCTTCAAAATATGTAACAACTTCTCTTATTTATAAATACCAACCTCGCTACTAATTAACACCTTTTCCTTTTATTCCATAATCTTACTGCCTTAAATGTAAGGCAGAATTTCAATGAAGACACCAGTAAAAAATTTAAAAATTTTTTTAAAAACCACAAAAATAACTAAACGGAATTTAAAGGAAAGCCAAAAATGTCTAAAGTCATCATCATGAAACCATCTGATTTATGTCCAGGGTATACAGGCCAAAGTTTTTTCATAAATGCTGTATTATTCATAGCATTCAATTTAAAATTACTACATAATACTCTAGGTCTGGTAATCTTTCTGGCAGGAAGGACCATTTCATGTTCACAAAGCCTCCAGGAAGTGATGTTTCAGGCAGGTGTGTAAAATCAGTGCCAGCAGTCAACTCACTGGAGAGGCAAGAGGTGGTGCAGCTTCCCCTGTCTGTGACCTCCCTGCTGGGACATCTAACAAATGTCAGAGGGCAGCAGGAGCAGACAGCACAGGGTCATGACAAATGACTTGATGTTCACTTTATATGCCACTAGATCACTGTCCAGTAACTCCTGCAATATGCCACTACCATGCTCACATTACAGACATGCATGACATATTGCATCTTGATGCTTGATAAATACATGTGATTATGATACTCAATACACATACACACAAATTAAAGCATTAAGCAAATGTGTTTTTTGTGCTTTTTAATGAAAATAAATGGTCTTATTGAGGGAGATAAGAGTTCATGTGTTTATATTAAAATACTCAAGATAGTTAGGGTAACCAGGAAGACAGAAATTTGAGGACATGGTCTTAGATGAAAGATTTTTGAGGAGATTCACACTGATCACATTACCCAGTAAGACACTTTAATCTTTTTCTTTGGCTCAAAATTGCATTATAAAAGTTTACCTGGAGTATCAGAGCAATCAAGCAAGACAAGCTTTCTGGTTTTGTGTCTTTTTTTCCTGTAGTGCTGGGGATACAACCCAGGGCCTTGCATATGCCAGGCAAGCACTTTACCACTGAGCTACACCCTAGCTACCAAGCAAGCTCTCTTTTCTTTTTCTGCTACAATTCAATAGTCACTATGGTAGTCCTTTTGGTCATGGAGTCAAAGAAATTGTGAATGTACTTTTCAAACTCCTCAGGAGATTAAGAGGTCTCTGTGCAATCATATCACATTCTTTCTATTCCCCCGCCACACCTTTTTAAACTCTCTTTTCAGACATTTTTTCATTTCTTGATCAAGGCTGCCAATGACCCAAACATTTCAGGTTTGTGTTTATAATGACACTGCTTAAAGTAGTAAAGAGGCTGCCTTTGTCAATCCACTCATGGCCCTAAGTTTCAGGGCATCTTCCGTGATGATCCTGCTCACTGCATAAGAATCTTTCGGATTTATGTAAGAACTCCATGTCAGTTAAGGGAGGAGGAATGACAATGGGTTATTCCCAGGTACTTTCTAGTTCCAGCAGAGACAGTGGAAGAGTTGTGAATATTGCTGGGGCAGATACATGACGATGTTAAACTCCAGAGCCGTATTTACTCAGCAATCTGTTCTAGCATCTGCTTTTGAAGAGTTTAAGAATTCCTGACAGAGAGAGCTGCACAAAAATGAAAAATCATCTAGGCCTTGCATGAAAGCACTTCCTGTGACTCTATAGCTATATTTATGTGACTAGATATCACTTTGTCCTATGTCTTACATAGTTATGCTATTCAACGAAGGTTCAGCAGAAATTAAATTTGGTAGAGGCTGACTTAAATGGTCACTATAAAAATGTTATTATTTTCAGAAAATAAGTAATCTAGCTGAGTTACATGGCAGAAACAAAATACTGTAATTACTACTAAGCCACACCAACAGGAATTCCTCCTATATTTATAGCTCATATCCTAAAAGTATGCATGTTTCTGAGTGGCATCCATACTGCTGGTCTCATTAAAAGAAGAGACATGTTCTTTGGCAGTTCAGGAAGGAGGCTGCATTCTCTGTGGGGACTATTTTCAGAGACTAGAGAAAAACTTGCCACAAGCACAGCTTGAGTTCCAGGCCTGGAAGAGACTTGGCAGCACAGGCTAGAAGTGAAGCAATTTTTCCATTCCCCTTCCCAAGGTGTCTGCTTTTCTAACTTGGCAACCCTATACTTGTTCACCATTGTATTCCTTGCAGCTGATGCAGTGCCTAGCTTCGTGCTACTAATTAAATATTTATGTTAAATTAAACTATTTCAGTTTTATGGCTTAGTAACTCGTTCTTCTGATGACACAGAATCTCTAAAGGAAGAACTCCAACTTTTTGATTTCTATTATGAGAGTTCTTCCCCCCAGCAACCTGTCACCCAGAATGTTTTCTGAACAAACATTAGCATAAATAGTACCTTTCTATGCAATTACCCATCAATGTTCTTGACTCCAAGTTAGATATAAAGACACTCAATTCAGTACATTTAAAAACACACTTTTGTCTAGTTTTCTAGAGGTAGAGTTTATTCCTAATCAGAATATTTGACATATACCTTTTAATATTGTTAATTCCCACACAACAATATTGAGTCTTAATGACTCCTTGGAACAAGAGAAATGCTGAACTGATATTTTCTACATTTTTTAATATTTTATTTTAACATTTATTTCATTTTAATAATTCAAAATTGTGGACCAACCTAAGTATATACATACACAAACGATATGAAAATCATTAGAAGTGAGGACGTATAATTAACAAAAACAAAAAATGGCATTTTATTTTTATTTATTTATTTTTTTTAATATTCTCACTGGCTTACTTTATGAGTAAACATAAAGTTTTCATACACACAGGATAAAGTGGCTTACCATGGATTTTGTCTCCTGAGTAGCAGTTAAGGAATAAATAAGTTAGAACCACCCTGAAAAAAACTATTGTCTAGGAGCAAAAATAAATTCAAAAGCAGCTATTAATGCTTTCAGCCAAACAGGAACTATATTAGCATAATACTTCAGTAAATATTGACCAAAGCTTTTCACTACTTTAAATGAGATGGTACTTTTTACTGTTACCTCAATTCTAGTGACTTTAAATTCCTTATCATGTGGCACAGGCAGTAGGGAACAAATACAGCCTTCTTTGAGCTATGACAAAAGTCAAAACAGAGAAGTAGAAATGTTAAGAGGACAAATCCATAAAACCCATAAATTATGCTAACTTCCATTAAAAGCCTATCTACTATGCCATCTGTCTCTCTGACCAAGAGACTTTAAAAAGAAAAGTAACCATCTTCTGTCTGTGGTGCCAAAAAGACTAGGTGGTAGCAGAAACAAAGAATCTGCAAAAGTGGAAAATAAATAGCTGATGAAAAAATATGAGCTTAGAAACAAAGCAGGAAAACTCAGTATGTCAGAAAACACTGTTAGGAAAAAAGAGAACTTGGTTCTTCATGAATTATATAGTGTTTTATTGGTAAAGATGTCACATGTGTTTTGCTACCTTGAAAACTGACAGTTCTGTTCACTGTGAAAAAGATAGGAGACATGGAAAAGTTTGACAATCTGAAGAGGACTGAACTGGCCAGAATCTATGCATCCTCATCTATGAAAACACTCTTTCCTCATGGACTTAAAAAGAAAAAAATAGAATGAGCAAATTGGTCAACTTACTTTAAAATAAACAGAAAAGAACCATAATTCATTGTTAAAAATTGATTTTTTTTTTTTTTTTTGGTGATTCTGTGGTTTTGAACTCAGGGCCGCTCATGCTAGGTAAACGCTCTTATCACCCGAACCATGTTTCTAGCTCCAAAATTGATTTTTTAAAAGCTATCCTTTATAAGAGATTGCATTAATATGACTGAACTGAAGAGATAAACAACCAACGAGAATATTTCTTTTGTTCTAGCAGGTACTTTCAATTTTAAATATAGCTTAAAAAAAAAAAAAGCCCCATAGAGTTTAAAACAGTGTGTCTGTGATAATTAGCTTAGTTGATTAGTTCACAGTGGCAAGGACAGGATTTCAATCTCACTCTTCTCAGTTGTCCTGCCAGAAACTGTTCTTCCATACCAAACCAGCCATTTGACAGATGTAAGCCACTAGCCCCAAGGAACAAAAGCCAAACAGTGTCGATTAGTGCAAACCTTGAACGTCACTGGAAAAATTAAGTGTGCATCGTTACCATACACAGAAAACCACGTAAATACTTTCTGTTTTTCTTAGAAGGCATTTTTTGATTGTTCATACTTCTAAGGTTTAAAAACTACTTTGAGAGAAAAATAATTTAGAGACTAGAATATATAATGTTAACACTCACTCTCACTATTCCTTAATTCATTCAAGTGTCACCTTGTAAGAGAATTCAATTCCCTGCCATTCTGTCTCCTTACTCTGCTATTTTCCTCTTAGCATTTTCCACTAACTGACATTATATTAAATATTCACTTATTTGCTGTGTGACTTTTCCAACTGGAATGTGAGCTACCTGAGAGAGCTGGGTGTATGGTCCTATTTTATTTCCAGGGCTCAGAATAGGGCCTGTCATACCCTTATCTGCTGAATAAACTGACTAATTTTGTCACATATTAAGGGAATTTAATCCATGTATATCTTTAAGGGACATTAAAATATAGTATATCATTTATAAGCCAAGAACATATTGCTAACTAGTGAACCACAATGTGTTTGTTGTATACAGGCAGCATCGTATGTACCAAAAGAATTTCCAGATTTTTGACATGGGTCTTCCACATTTCAGTGGTGCTGAGCATCTATATCATTCATTTGCATGGGATCAATCAATGTGGGTGACAAATATTTAGACCATGAAGAGAGAGCTGTGGGACTGGCTACTCAATTCAATCTCAGTGATAAATCTGAAATATTCAAAACCAGTAAGTCTTCCTTGACCAGTTTATTTAGAAATAAATACCAGGGTGGCTGGCTGGCAGAGTGGCTCATGTGCTAGAGAGGCTGCCTAACTGAGTTCAAACCCCATTACTGCCAAAACAAAAACAAAAACAAACAAACAAAACAACCAGAAATAAATACCATGGAAAAGAAAAATGGTAACAATTTATTAATTCTTTTTCTTTTATCAGTTACAGTGCTGGAAACCAAACCCAGGGTCTTATGTTTGTTCTACTGAGCTACACCTACAGCCCTTACAGCTTTTTTTTCAATACAAGTAATTAACCCAGAAACAAACTAGAATTTGAATGGATAATGTATAGACTGCACTATAACCTCTCAGGTTCTCCCTTTGCTGATTACTGGAGAGTAAAAAGTCAAATACAATAGGAAGGTTACAATAAAGGAGGCCATGGATAGCCAAAGCAATCTCCAGAAAAATTCCTAAAACTCAACCCTTTAGCACAGTGAACTACAGTATTACTCCATCCTCTTTAGACATATATTTATTTATTTGAGGCCAGATATAATAGAAAACCTATCTATTTACAATCATACTGTATTCACTGATAAGATCAAGCTTGCTACTAAGGTTTCTGAACTTATAAGTTATTTTTAAGCAATACTTCACTGTCTTTATTCTCAGAGAGAAATATGAAGAAGTTATTTTAATTTTCATACCCTAAATCAAACTTCATCAACTAAACACAAATGACAAAAACACTGGGACAAAAACCAGGGGACCTGGATTTGATCCTGGTTCAATATTACCAACTAGTCCCATGACCTTGGACAAGTTACTTTACCTCTTAGAGCCTCAGAAGGGGTTAGCCTGATATGATTTCCAAGCTTCAGCCATTCATACACTACATTCTTAATTTTAGCCAAATTCATGCTGTTAATTTACTTGATCTTACTTTAAATGAACACACATTTAAATTTTTTAAATAACTTTAGCTTTGTTATAAGCAATTTAGGAAATTACAAGTTCCATGTAGTATAGATTATCCTCACTTACATTAAGATACATTAGTCACAGAGATGGCTGGAAAGGTAGCAAGGAGGTGCCGTGTCAGCTACTCCAGCCATAAAGCAAAGCTGGTGTCTCTGTGGACTTTAAAATTGTTCCTATGCAGCTTATTTTATTTTTGTTTAATCAAATAAACAAGAGGGTTTTTTCCATGGGGGAAAAAAAAGATACATTAGTAATAATGTGTGCCCATTTGTTTACCATTAATTACACTATGAGAAGCATAAAAGATAATTTTCATGGCCCTTCATAGCTTTAAAATTCCAATACACTTACTAAATCTCATAGGTTTTACTGCTGTTGTTTGCTTTTTTGAAACAGGGTCTTTCTATTGTAGCCCACGCTGGGCTCATGATTCTTACCTCCCAAGTGCATGGACTGCAGTTATGTACCACCAAACACAGCTCAATCTCACAGTTTTTAATCATTAAAAACTAGGGTTAAAAAATTATCTCATTATCATAAGCACAATGAGTACTCCCCCACCACTGTTCTCAGCAGCTCTTCCTCTATAGCCACAAAAATTGGCTAGTTCCCTAATACGAGGATTCCTTTACTTTTATTTTATGGTTCTTGCCTTAGATACAAAACAGATTTGGGCTGTTGAACTCAAAACTAATGAGCATTAATAAAAATGGAAACAGTACATACCACTAAATGAAAAGGAATACCTATGTTCCTCACTTCAATAAAAATCCAACAACTAAAATGAATTTGCTTTTGCTGATTCTAAACAAAAAAGTCAACCTCCCCTCCCCAGCCTTCCGTTTCCCACTCTTTAACTTTCATTTTTCGTTGATCTAAGAAACCTCTTTAAGAGGACCCCGGGGCCTCCTTATGAGAGCTGAGTTGTGCCTAAGAAGCATGGCACAAGTTAGTGTCACTGGCTGGAACATACTGTTTTGGTAAAAAAAAAAAAAAAATTCTCTTTTAAAAGTTCTCAAGGATTATCACTGTTTCCAATACCTGAACAAGCCAGATGCCATCTTTTGTATCTTCTACAAGCTCATAGAAGTGCATTTCACCACTGAAATTGGTGCTAGAAACAGATTCAGATGCCTCCTCTTCCTTGAGAGCAGAATAGAGCTCACCCTCCATCAAGTCACCTGAAAGAAGGAAAAAACAACACATGAGATTTCAAAATCCCATGTTCCCAACTTCAATGATTAATTCCATTTTATACTGTGAATAATAATGTTGTTGTACTTTCATTGTACTCTATAGAAAAAAGAATAGAACCTGAATATTCCCATTTAAGAATCTAAGATGTGATAGGCAAAAGTGAACACAAAAATCTATTTCTTATACAACAAAGCTTATAGTCTAGTGGGTCATCACTTATTAGGAAATTATCCAATTTGTACCAATCCAAAAAGCCATTACAAGATCATGTATCACATACATGTGTTATGTATGACATGTTCAGCTGTCATATAATTTTTAAACAGTGTGGTTTATGAGTTCACACAATTTGCCATGAGTCTTGCTTAAAATAGTAACAGGGTTTATATGACTTGGAGGTTAGAACTTTACCTCTTAGAACAAACTCTGTATTTATACACTAGTTTACAGCATAAATTAGAGCTTGTACCACCAAAAAAAAAAAAAAACCATTAATGTCATATTATTTTAACTTTTGCTTTAAATATTAAACAGTGAGTAATCATACTGTACCATTGTAGCAACAAAACCATTTACAACAAATACTTAAGTTTTACAGATGAATTGCCACCCCAAGACTTTTTTCCCATACAATGTGTGATCTGAGTCATTATTTTGTGGGCGAGATATCTTCTTTAGATGATATGTACATTCCTTGTACATTCAGCATGACAGGTATTTTTAGGCCCAAAGGAAAGCAATAATACATACATAAATGTAAAAGAAAAAAATGTGTGATCAAATTATTTTACTGTGAAAAATGATTTGGCTTTGGCAGGTAAAACACTTCTCACCTCTAACCCCAGTTTATTAGAATCTTTTACTTTACTTACTACATTTTCCCCCATGTGGTAGAAATAAAAGTCACCATAAGCCTGTCAGCAAACAAGGAGCAAGAATAATTTTTATTCCTTTTCCAAAGAAAAAATGATCACTTTCGCAGTTGTTGAGATTCATTTTATAACTCCTAAGATATAAATATGCAAGTGTTAAACTGTAGGGAGTTTGTATTCTTGCCCATCATACTTTATGGCTACAGGCTACTAAGAGAAAAAAAATTGTCTTGTAATAGATGCAACTGACACATACACTTGTAACAACAATAAGAAGATAGTCATCAATTTCAACTGCTCCCTAAAACAACTCAGAATGCTCTTAGCAACTACACTCCTCTTTCAGGAAGCTTATCTAAAAAGATACACTTTGCCCAACAGTGAAAAAAATTACCATACTTTTTCACTCAATCCTACCCCAAACCAATAGCTACTGAAAAATAAAATTTTTAGGACACTAAATATTCTCTTAGCACTGTTGCATCTCTATTCCTCAATCCATTAAGGGATGCAGGGTGCCGGCGACACATGATAAAGTTTAGATGCAAGATACAAAAACAAAAATTGACAGAAATATAAACAAACTCCAAACAAGGCAGCTATCTGCACAAAACTTTCACCCATTTTCACTAAATTTAAAGTATGAAAAGCAAAGGCTGTGCAGAGTGCACGTTACCCATACTTAAATCTTAATTTAACCTTTAAATCTTAGGCCCAAATGCTTCTTTGCTGTTGATTATTCCATGTTTTCCCTTGTTACTATACTGACAAATACTACTGTTACAGTTTACGTTTTGGAGTTTTTCTTTTCTATACTATTATGATTTTCAACTGACAAATCCTTTCCTGCTTGTTACCACTCCGGGTTTGGAGAAAAATCACTTAATTTAGTAATCAATGCTTAAAAGCTACACTTTTAGAATGTCATTTAAAAATAACCTTAAAAAGACAATTTCAGACCTTTGCTCCAAACTGGGATAGACATTTTGGATGGCAGAAAATGTGGACAAAAGAAAAACAAGGCAGCTCTCCTAGCTGTGTGCTTAAAACCTTCCAGGGACCGGCCTGTTTGGAGGTACAGGTCGCCCCCTTCCCCAGGTGGAGGGGACCCCGACACTCGCCTGACTTTTCCACCAGCTCCCGAACATCCTTCTTCTCGGGCAGCCCGGAGTAGCCCAGCCCGCGGCACTCCAGGATGGTCTTGAGCTTCTTAAAGCTCAGTGCCACCGGGTCCACCAGCTGGGTGGCAAAGATGCCAGTCTCGTACCACACAATGGCCTCAAAAAACCTGGCCAGGACGAAGAGGACCAGAAAATAGAGGAGCAAGAAAAACAGCTTCAGCCACATCTTTTCCCGGCGTCTCCTCTCTTTCCAGAGAGCCCGGAGTAGGGGAAGAGGAGGGTGGCGGCGGGGAGGTGGGCGCACGGCCGCCGGGGCGAGGGCCGCTTCCGCGTGCGGCGGTCACCGGCGGGCCATCCCCGCGGGGACGCAGGGGGGTCAGGGTGTCCGTGCGGTTGGGGAGCGCCGAGGACAGAGGCGCAGAGCCTCGCGCCGGGCCTCCCAGTCAAGGGGCGACAAAAATAAAGGGGAAACGCTCAAAACGCCCCATCCAGGAAACAGCGAACCGAGAGGGGCGCGAGTAGGAACAAAACCAGGGACGTTTTCCGCCGCGGAGCGCTGTGACCCAGGTGGCGGGATCTCACGAGGAGGGGGAGGGGGACCCCAAAATACTTGGGGTCCGCAGAGAAAGCCCCGGAGGCGGCGGTTGGGATCGGAGGTTCAGGAAGACGCGGCGCTCGGCCCGGCCAGGCCCGGGGCCCAGCGCTCCCGGCGCGGGAAAGAAGAGCGGCCGCCGCAGCGCCCCACCCGGGGCTCAGGCCCCAGGCCCCGCCGGCCACCCAGGCTCCGCGAGAAGCGCGGCGGGCACGGCGACGCCTCTCAGGCCGGCGGGTCCCGCGGCCGGCCCAGGAGGGGGCGTCGCGGTCTCTGCAGAGGGAAATCCGGAGCGCGGGGCGACGGTCCTGGAGAATAAAAAAAGCCAAAAATAGGCCCTAGGACGGCTCCCCCCAGGTGACTTTCGGGCTGCCCCCTGGCTACACACCGCCTGTGCGGGGCGGATGGGCGGCGCAAATAGCTGCCGCCGTCCCTGTCGCCCCAGACGCCTCCGCAGGCCGCGGCGGTCGCCCCCGGAGCAGTGCATCAGCGGCGGCCGGAGCGGAGACATAACAAGTGACGTCGGCGTCGGGGCGGGGCCGGGGGCGGGGCCGGGGCCGGGGCGCCGCCTCCAGGGGAGCGGCCGCAGGGGCTGGGGCGGGGACAAGCCTGGGGTGACTTCCAGACACCGCCCCAAGTGGCCTCTCCAGTGTCTTCTCTGCTCTTGCCCGCTTACCCTGCACATGGTTACTAATTGATTTTCGTCTGAGGGTTGGATTCTGGATTATGTCACTGTGTATTTTTTATTAGGATATATTCATTGTAAGGGGCGGGATTCGTAGTGACTGTATTTTTATTTTTTGTAAAAATAGGGTAGTTAACTATCTTTTTAAAATCAGCAAAAATAGGCCGTAAGTTTAAGCAGAGTCCTGGTGAATTGGGAAAATTTTGTCACCGTTGGCTGGAGGTGGTAGAAGATGAAATCCAGAAAACAAGCTTTTCTGCCTTTACATGAGAGTGTGGTTTGGGCACACGTGTGTTGGAGGAAATTTGTCCAAAAGAACAGTTAGAACTAGGTCCAGTTGTATCTGCCTCCCCGTCCCCTTCAGTTTCAGGGGTGTTAAAAACCAGGTATGGAAGCCCTGAGTTCCCAGGACAAAGGTTGTTAATATGTCCAGGAACAAAGTTCTGTGTGTTCTGTGGGCATTGCCAGCAAGAAGAGCTTATATAAAATGAGTAATGTGCACAAGCATACAGTACCTGGTTCCGTGTTTATTTAACCCCAACGAAGCATATGCTTTATGTCGATTTATGTGCCATTCTTGAGGGAGGGGGGAGTTGGGTTCACGAACTAAACAGGATTGGCTTCCCTTTATCAGGAAGGAACAGACCCAGGGAATTAGCCATTGTGCAAAACCATTAGTTACCCTAAACTAGGGGTGAAAGTTTTGGGAAGAAATAGAATATAATCCTCAATCTTGGAGCAAATGAAGAATGTAAAACAAAGAATGAAGCATGAGAATGTAGCCTCAGAATGGTACCCCTTTAAAATAAAGCCAACAAAGGCATTTCAGTGTCCAGCTATGGAGGAGGAATTGGGAGGGAACAGGCCCAAGGGGCAGGGAGAAAGAAATCAGAGGAGGAGGTATAGGAATGCGTAGCTCTGGACTCTGTTCCTCCATCTACTATCTTCAATGCAGCTTTGTTTCCAGGGTTGGCAGATCATTGTAGGAGCATTCTAACAAGCTTGGTTCTGAAATTTCAGAATCCTTGGGCATGTTGTGGTAACCCTGTTAACATTGCCATCCAGACCTTAACAGATAGGTGATGTCCCTCACCTCAAAGGAACATACTCTAGTAAAAAGAGATTGACCCAAAGTTAAATTATGTGAAAGAGTGACCTGCAGGGAAAGTTGGGTGTGAGCTGAGAATGGGAACCAGCCAATCCAGAGTACCAAATTGGAAAAAAAAAAAAAAAAAAAAAAATCTTGACTGTGGGAAGCATCAGAAAGAAGGGTTTAAAGAACTCTGACATTTCTTGTTCGTTCCAATTGCTTTTCATCCCAACCCCCTTGCCTGTTCCTTTAAAGGTTTAATCTAAAGGCACTGGTAAAGTAGACACAGTTCAGCTGGATAAGGGAGTATGGACACAAGTAGGGGTGGGGAAGGGGTGTTCAACCTTTTGGGAGGGCAATTTACAGAGAGAGTTAGAAGCTCCCTAAAATGCATGCTTTTTGGCACAGTGATCTCTCTTTAGGGAATTTATCTTGAGGAATAATTGGACACAGACACAAAGATGTGTATGCAAAGTTTTATTGTAACTGCAGAGTTAATAATAAAAAGAAATAACCCAAATAAATATCTAGCAACAGAGGACTGATCAAATACAGTAATCCAAATGATAAACTAGTAGGCAGCCACTAAAAGGAAAAATGTAGATGTATGGTTATAGACATGGAGTCATGTCCAAAATACAGGGTTTGATGAAAAAAGTAGATTACTGTGAAGTTTGCTGATCTGATTCTATTTTGTATTTGTATTGGGAAAAGACAGCTGCATACATTAAGGTGTCACCTATGTTCATCTGTAAGTAATGGGATTTAGATTATTTCCATTTTTTCTTTTATTATCTGTTACTTTTCTGAAATAATCATGCATTACTTGTAATCTTAAAATGTGTTTGGAAAAATAAAACAACCATTAGGACTGCTTTTCTAGTCTGAAGATTTAGCAGGAGCAGTTCATCCTCTGGACTCCAAAGGTGGAGGAGTGGGCTGTTCTCCTATGAAGGTGACGTCAATTTCCTCTAAGCCTAGCTGGGCACATCTCTTAGTCCAGGTTACACTGGTGCAGCAGAATACCACAGACTAGGCAATTTACAATGAATGGAAGTTTATTTGACTCAGAGTGATAGAGGCTGGGACGTGCAAGAGCTGAGCAAGATGCCAGCATCTAAAGAGAAAGTTCTTGCTGTATCATCCCCTGAAAGAAAGCAGGAGAGACAAAGAGGAGAGGAGAGGAGAGAGAGAATATGAATGTGAGAGCGCACTGAGAAGTTGGAGGTGTAGCATGTGTCTGTAATCCCAGCATTCAGGAGGCTGAGGCAGGAGGAACTTGAGTTTGAAGTCACGCTGGGTTACATAGTGAGACCTTGTCTAAAAGAAAAAAAAAAAAAAAGGCAATAGAGTACCTGTCTAGCAAGCACAAAGCCCTAAATTCAAACCTCATAGTTCCAAAAAAAAAAAGAGAGGGAGAAAGAAATGAAAAAGGAAAGACAACCAAAGTCTTTAGTTGAGCTTAATGAAACAGGTTATATAATTTAGAGTCCACAGAGTCCCCTCTTTTTATCTTACTCTTATCAAGGTTTAACACCTGCATAGTTTAGAACACATCAAGACTCCATCCAAACTGGGACAATTTTGAGAGCAACAGGGCAACAGAAATAGAATTGTGCCAAACTGAGCAGGATGAGCTGGGTCTGTCCCAGACAGATCCTACTTGCAAAGACCACACCCCGCACTTAGGGCTTCTTCCTCTGAACCCCATCTCTCTCAGCCTACAGCCTTCAGTTATTTTAGCATTTCTTTTTCAGGTTTGCTTCTGTAGTCCCAAAAAATAGTTTTCCATTAATTTCTTACTACAGAAGATGGGGAATTATGTCTTTTATCCCCTCCACTCTTATACCACTTTCCTCCCTTTGTTCCCAACATTATATTATATATTCATTTTTACATTACTATGCCCGTATAAATTTTGTTCATGGCTAAACCACACCATTTATATTTCCCTTCTTGTGCAATTGTTCATTTCCTCTGGAGTTAATAATTAATTCAAATTTTGGGTTGTTCTGTTTTCCACGCCACATCCATTTATTCATGTCCAAATTCTCCGGGCTATAAAACTTTTCAAATGGCTAATCTCTCACTCCCATATTTCTCTGGATATAACCTTTTATCTTTGGCCCTGCTCCCTGCTAGCCAGGTTACACCCTAGACTCACTCCACAGCTTTCATCCCAGGGCTTCCGGGCTCTACTATATTGGATTCTTTGTTTTCTTGACCTCATGGCTGTACTTTGTTCCTTTACTTCTTTGTTTGTATGGAACACATCCCATTCTACAGCAGCTTAGTAAGAAACTTGGCATGCAGATAAACTTTGGAGAATTTACATGTCTAAAAAAATCCCTATTCTTCCTCCATTGTTCGTTTGTTTCAAATTTAAGGAACACTTGCAAGAACATTACAAAAAGTCTCCTTTATACCCTCCTCTAGTTCACCAATTGTTAGTATTTTGCCATATCCTGCCTTTTCTCTAGATTATATATGCATACTGTTTTTGATAGTTTTGCCAAGTATAGAATCTAAATTGGCAATCATCTCCCCTTCAGAATTGTGAAAGCACTGATCCACTATCTTCAGGCTTCTGCTGTTGCTGTTGGATGCTGGTGCCATTCTAATTCCTGCCCTTTAAAAGTGACCTATGTGTACTTTCTAGAAGTTCCTTGGGTTTTCTTTTCATCCTTGATGTTCTGAACTTTTATGTTGCACCATAATAAGAGTTTCCTTCTCTTCACTGTGTTGAGTATCTTTTAATATGACAACTTGTAGGCCAAGTGTGGTGATGCATGCTATAATTCCAGCACTTGGGAGGCTAAGACAGGAGGTTTGAGGCCAGTTTGCAATATAGGGTGAGACCCTATCTCTTCCTATGGCAACTCATGACTTTTAGTCTTCAACAATTTCCTCTGCCCATTTTCCCACTTTTCTGGAACACTTATTAATGAGATAGTGGAACCCCTAAATTGATCCTATAATTTTATTCTCTTTTTTTTCTCCAGTTTTCCTCTTCTTGTCATTTATTCTACTTTCTGGGAAATGTCTTCAACTTTACCTTCCATTCCTTCTACTGAATTTTTTTGTTTGTTTTTGTTCTGTTTTTTGAAACAGGACTTTGCTATGTA